ATTTTTGCATCTATATCCATAAGGAAAATTTTTCTGTAACATTCGCTCTTTGTTAGGTCTTTATGCGGTTTGTGTATCAGGGTAACTGTGACCTCATAAAATGAATTGGCCACTTTTTTCCATTTCCATTTCATGGAATAATTTGTGAAATATTGACATTAACACTACTGGAAAATCTGGTTGGAAAGTCCTTTGTTGAGATCATTGTCAGTTGGGACAATTTTAATGACTGTGTCTATTTTACTACAGGTTAGAGGTCTTTCTAAATTTCTTATGTGATCCTGATTTAACTTTGATAAGTGTTGTGTATTTAGAAAATTTTCTCTTTCAGTTTGACAGAGTACAAGTTTATAAAACATGTCCTTATAGTTCTCAGAATTTCCTGTGTATTTTTATATCCCCATTTGAACTCTTTGTTAATTTAGTTTCTCTCTGCCTTTTACTTAACTTGTATAATGATTTGATAATGTTATTGATTTCATCAAAGAATAAACTCCATTTGTCATCATTTTTTGTTTATGTTTCTATTTTACATATCTCGGCCCTGAGTTTAGTTCTTGCTGTCCACTCCTTGTAGGTATATTTTTTCCATTTGCTCTAGAGCTTACAGATGTGCTATTAAGTTAGTCATGTGGTATCTTTTATGTGGACACATCTGTGTACACCAGAGTTGTGTGTGGTGCCTTTGGAGACTAGAGGACAATGACATTTGGTTTCCTAGGACTGAGACTGTAGATGGTTGTGTAAATAAAAATTCCCAAAAAGAAGCTGTGCCTAGTTGTGAACCAAAAACTCCTGGAAGGAATTACTGTGTAGGCAGTGACTGCTGGGCCCACTGGAATTTTAGTATGCTGGAGAGACTGTTGTTTTGTTAGGTCAGGGCTAATTACTTTATCTTTGTCTAATTGGCCTTATGGAGCATCCGTTCTTTGCCCCACTTTGTATCTGAACTAACACCTTTGATAATAAATAAGCTAATAACTTGGAGATGACCTCTTGTGATAATAAGTACAAACATCCTATAATCTATTCACCTAACAGAATAATAACATCTACCAGTCCAATTCCCAAGAATGTCATCAGCCAGCATCTTAGGTCTAATAGTTTCCCACATCTTGCTGCATCTGCCCTTCTGGTGAGCTCACCAATGAATGTTAACATTGCCTTGATTTACATATTTCTTATTCTGTGAAACAAAAACAATCCTGTGAAATTGCTTTTATGTTGGAATGTGGTATTCCGTGTTCCCAGTCATGATAACTCAAAATGGCTCCAGATTCAGCTCCCTCTTATTTCTTTTATCATAAGGGCTGAGGTCCCTTTCCCCCACTTGTGTACTGCTATCTGTGTGCTAGTGACAGGACATGTGTCCTCTGTAAGACTACCAAGTACTCTTAACAACTTAGTCACCTCTCCAGCCCCACAATTTATTTAGGACCCTAAATATTAGAGTATACCTATCTAAGTGTTTATCTAAGTAAACACTTCGTCTCCTCAGTGTTTCTCTCAGCAATTCCCAGAGCTCATCTACCTGATGGTTTCTGTCATGGTATCTAGACAACTAGGTTCTGGAACACTGAGGCGATTCTAGGTGTTGATATCTTTGTCGGGTATTTATTCTCTTTCTTGGTTTCTGTTGCCCTTTCTGGATCTTAGGAAAGTGTGTGTTCTGTGGGTTGTCTTTTAGAGAGTGTTTCTGCAAGTTGGAGGGATGCGAAGAAGACTAGAGGTATGCTAGGAAAAAAGCTGAGGGGGGCTTCCTGCCCTGCTGACCAAGGTCAAAAGCTACCATTGTCCATCAGCTGTCTGAGATAGGAGCAAAAAGGGGAATTCCTTTCTCAGCAGGGCTTTTTCTTCTTTGAACTTGTCTGGGGAGCTGGAAACCTGCATGCATATCCTGTACCTGAGGAATTTCAGGTAGTCTTGTTGCTGAGACTCCTGGAATGCCTTCCCATGCTAATGAGACGCCTTAGGTACTCACTTTTCATCTAATGACCTTTGCCCACTCTGGATATTTTTACCCCCTCCCCCAAAATCATATAACCGTTTGTTCACCCAGAATAAAGTATATGTGGTATTATTAGTCAGGGTTCTCTAGAGTCACAGAACTTATGGAATGTCTCTCTCTGTATTTTGGGAATTAACTGTGATGACTTCCAGTCTGTAGTCCAACTACCCCAACAATGGTCAGCTGTGAATGGGAAGTTGAAGAATGTAGTAGTTGCTCAGTCCCATGAGGCTAGTTGCTTCAGCTGGTCTCTTGTAGAAGTAGATTCCAACACATGTGCTGGCAAGTAAATGCAAAGAGGCCAAGAAGAGCAAATCTTTCTTCTTCTTCCAATGTCCTTATGTATGTCTCCAGCAGAAGTGTGGCCCAGATTAAAGATGTGTTCTACCACTCCTGGATCTAGGACCTTCTTTGTCCCAGGCTGACCTTGAACTCAGAGTTCTCCTTGCCTTAGTCTCCTGGGATTGAAGGCATGTACTACCTTTCCTGGGCCTAAACTTTTCATGACCACTGTATCTCAAGATCTCCATGCCAAGATCTAGGTCAGAAACTTTTGTCTTCCAGCCTGAAGATCTGTACTACAGGTGAGCCCTCCAATTCTGGATTGTAGTTCATTCCAGATAGAGTCAACTTGACAAGTGAGAATAACAATTACATGTGTAGAAGACCACCCCAAACAAAGGTATGCGAACATGCTAAGATAGACTCAGAGAACTGTTTCATTAAAATCATCTAAGAAGACCTTTGCCTGAAAGGGCTGCACCACTAAGATCCTTGGAGAATGCTTTCTGTCTTCCTGCCCCTGGGGAACTGGTTCTCAGCCTGACTGGAAATCTGTCCATTCCAGTCTCTGCTTCATCCTTCCAGCCCTGTGTGCAGCAGCATATGGACACTCTGAGAGGGAGAGAGAGCAGAGGGCAGAGAGCCACGGGGCCTTTAGGAAAGAGCCAATGAGATCTGTCTACATCAAGAGATGGGGTCCCCAGGGAATTGGACCTCCCACCTCAAACATGTTGCAGTAAGGTAAAGAAACATCTGGAGAGACAGGGTTCAGTGGGCTAGTGGGAACTGGGTCTGAAGCAAGAAACGGATTCTCCAGTGAAAGGAGTTCAGGAGGGAGGAGGGCACTTGTAAGTCAGTTGTTATCAATCTGAGGGAGATTGTGTAGTGATCATTGTGGAGGACAGGTAGGAGAGAGTGATTCCCTACCCCAAGTCCCTGCCAGTTGTGACTTCTGGTGTTCCAGTAGAAAGTGCTTCTAGATATTGGGGGTGGAAAGAAAGAATGGGATTAGTCAGTTGGTGGCCCGGGGGTGTGGCAGCAGCTAGAGGGTCCACAGGAATGAGGAAAGCTTGGTGTGCAGCAAGATTTGGAATGGTCCTCAGGATTGGAGTTGGAATAGGAGATCAGGATCTTGTAAGCTGGCTGTTAAAGGGTTGGTGGTGAGGCTGGAGAGAGTGTAATGAAGGGCAGGAAGACTAGTGCAAATCACCTACTTAAGCAGTAGACAGGTGTGTCCACTCAGAGTCCAAGGAATAGAGTGTGTTTCTAGATATATACTACTCTCACAAAGGGATGGGAGGAGAGAGGAAAGCTGGGTCTGCTGCAAGGCTCTGGGAGATCCACAGGGGATGGAGGAGGTAGTGTAGCAGGAGAGGCCACTGAAAGCTCTGATCTCTTTTTAAATGGGATCTTCTACTCTTTTTGCAAATCTCTAACTCAAAACAACACTGAGAGTTTAATTAATGTGTTTTCTCTCTTTAATATCCTTGGAAAGTTAGGTCATGTCTCTTCCATCCTTCCTTCCTCCCTCTTCCTCCTCCTCCTCCTCCTCATGCCTCCCTACCTCACTCTCTCTCTCTCTCTCCCCCCCCTCTCTTTCTCTCTCTCTGTCTCTCTCTCCATCCCTACTTCTTTCTTTCTTTCTTTCTTTCTTTCTTTCTTTCTTTTTTCTTTTGTTTCTCTCTTTCTCTCTCTCTCTCTCTTTCTTTCTTTCTCCACCTCAGGTGAAGAATGTTAATTCCACAGTAGAAAGGTGTTTAAAAGGCAGCAGGTGGCAATTTAATTCCAGATGTGAAGAGAAGACACTTCTAGATGGCATCATTTCTAAATGCACATGTTTCTTAGCCAAACCACTTTACAAACTGTGTTCAAGTGCACAACTATCCCTACGCCACGGTTTCGGAGGGGCAAACACTCTTCGATAAAGTGAATGAGAAGAAAGGAGCATTTTTAAGGACAGATTCTTGAGATCTTTCCAGCCTCAGAACCCAATAGCACAGCTTCCCTCTAAATAAGGCCAGGCTGGAACCCAATGCCAAGTCTCTTACCAATATCCCTTTATAGACAGTTGATACAGCCATGCTCTGAAATGGTGGGATCTCCCTACCCCACAAAGTGCTGGAAGCTCCAGCATCTACACAAAGCTTCCTCTAATGACTAGGCTTGTCACAATCTGATCTGAGAGTCTGGGATCTGAGGGCCCATTATCTATGCTTTACAAAGAAAAAAACCTACAGGCAGTAGCTTATAAAAGGGAGTGGGTTCAGTTATATTTCTATCTAGACTAGAGAGAGGGGGATTCTTAACTTCTCTCCACCTTTCTCATACCAGTGCTACAATTTTTATGGACAAACTGTAACAAAAATCATAAAACAGACATATGAAGATTTAGCTCTGAGAAAATGTGTAGCTCTGAGAATGTTCTTTTAGATCGTGCTGCCTCCTGGACAGAGCAGGGAGGGAATCTCTGGAAGAAATTGTAACTCTGTAGCATTGTTTCTGTCAGGGTCCCTAGTACACAAAACAGAATAAAATATTACAGTCATTTAGTGCTCACTCAAAGGACAATGGGTTGGAATTAGTCTCACATCTTCATCTGTTCCCAATTTTCCCTCGGTCCACCTCAGATCCATGATCTCTTTCTGATCCCAGCATGGCCCTGTCTGGACACAGAAGGGACGTAGAATCCTTTGTTTACAGAAAAACACAATTCACTGTTGAAGGATTGACAAATATTTATTGTTCCTTCCATTGGGTTTCATAAAGCAAGCAGAATTTTCTGAAGGCTAGACATGCTTTGAATGGGGAGAGAAAATAATGGAGAGAGCTCTGAGGTACAAGAGGTGCTGAGGAGTTTGGATTCAGGAGCTGGGGCACAGCTGCCCGTGTATCTCTGGGCAGGCACTTCAGAAAGAAGGCTTGTGGCTGGGACAGTGACTGGCAAGCCTTTTGGTGACTTCATTACAACTCTAAGATCTTCTGTATCAAAGAACCTGAGTTGTGCCTCTGTCTTTGGTAGAGGACCTATAATACCCAGGGCCATGTCTCGCCCTCTTCTCATCACTGAGACTTTGTGTCCAGTGTCTCCCTGTGCTGCTTCACCAGTGTCCCAATCCACTCTGAGGTTTTCTGCTTCGCTTCCTCCCAGCTGACAAGTGGCTCATAGCCCAGATCTCGCTGAGCTTTTTTGTAGGAGACAGTGAACACACTATTTAGCACTATAACCTTAAAGCGGTTAAAGGGTGGCCTATAGTTGTAGACTGGACTTAGCAGGAAGCTCACCGTTTCCAGAAGGAAGGCAAGCCAGTAGAGCAGGCGCAGAGGAAGGCTCCAACTGGAATCAAGGCGGAGGCCCCACTCCTTGCTCAGGGTGTAATTTAAATCATCATAGCTTTGGTGAGGAGTGTCATCTGAGATGTAATAAAACTGTCCATGGATGCTTGGGGACTTCTTGGGGTCTTGTAGGACTCTGGCAGCCACAATGTGAGCCCAGGCTGCATTGCTCACATACACTGGGTTGACTATGGAGAATGATGCATACTTCTTAAGCATGCTGTTGTTCTTGAGCGCTGCATTTACAATGATTGAAGTGATTCGGTTTTCTTCCCCATAGATAAATGGGACTCTTAAGGCACAAGTATGCAAAGTGCCACCATTTTTCAGGTTGCTCCCATTGGCTGCCAGCACTGCCTTCTCCGCCATCTTTTTGCTGTATGGATATGGATCAGACCATGTGCTTTCATGATACTCTTCCTCATGGCCATTCAGGATGATCTCCTTGTAGGAGTTTGGTCCAGCCACAATTGTTGAACTGCTGTAGATGAAGGCTGGCACACTGGCTTCCACACAAGCATCCAAAAGGAGCTGAGTACCTGCTCAGAGAAAGCTTACCATTACTGCGACCAAATAAGACAACGGGACCACTGTGGCAATGGGGTCAGATTGGTTTCCATTCCACCCCCAGTGGGAGGGATGCCTATCTTCAGATCTAAGTGCAGTCCCACCTCATATGGACTCAAACCTACCATTCTATAGTCACAAAATAACCACAAAATTAAAAGAGGTGACATTGAAATCTAGAAATGAAGGATTTTTAGGGTTTTGATCTATAACACCCCCTCTCTGTTTATATGCTGGTATGTACTTCTATTTTCAGTGCTAGGGATCAAACAAATCTAAGCTTTCTCCATGTTACACAATCATCTCCAACTGTCTGGGTTTTTGTTGTCGTTCTTGTTGTTTCTATTGTTGTTGTTCTGATAAACACCATGATCAAAGCATCTTGGGTATTAAAGTCTTTCTATGGCTCACACATCTAGATCACAGTACATCCCTGAGCAAAGTCACTTCAGGAACAAAGGAAGAAGCCACGTACCAATGCTGCTCCCTCGCTTGCTTCCCATGGCTGCTCAGCTTGCTTACACATATAACCCAGGACCTCCCTCTCAGTGTTGACATCTCCTACATTGGTGGGCCATTCCATGTTAATCATTAACATAACCCCAGAAATACACACAGGCCTATCTGATGGCAGCAATTTCTCAGTTGAAGTTCCTTCTTCCCAGTTAACTACCACATGGCAAGCTAACAAAAACTACCCAGTATTTTTTTTTTTTACATTGGAAAGTACTCTCCTGGATTGATATTCTGGAAAAGCATACCTTTTAAGTGTTTTAAAAACTGATATCAATAAATTAGTTTCAGGATGTTGCTCAGTGATTGAGCCTTTGCCTTGCTCTCCAGAAACAACAATAACAAGATGTTTAAAAATTCTCCCTCACCAAATAAAAGCAAAGCATCATACATTTCATTTCATTAAAGGTGTGTGCTTCTTTAATCCAAAAATGCAAGTTATCACATTGTCAGTGGTAGTTCAGAATCTCCAGCATGCCCACTTAGGTGTATTGCCCATAGTGTATGGGCAATATGTATTTTTATTTTACTGTATTTTATTTTCCATGTAGAGTCTTAGTATGTAGTTCAGACTGGGCTGGAAGGTATGATTGTCCTGGTTCAGAGTCCTGAGTGCTAAGATTACAGAAATGTACCACTTGACCTGGGAACCTTTATATATTCATAATCAGACATTAAAGACTGGTGTATTTTTTCTCATGTAGTAAGAATTAATATAGACATTAGAAACTGTTTATTCATAGCATCAAAGTGTGACTAAGAAAGAGGTACAACCTAAAAAGGATCCTTTTGAATTGGTTTTGGTCATCCCCATAAAATTAATTGATTTAGAAAAGGAGCACAGTTAGTTATTTGTAGGTCATGTCAAGGATACATGGCAGGCAGGACCTTGGAGTATATTGGTGCTATGAAGACTGGTGTCAGGAGTAAGTGTGGTTATTTTATATGGTAAAGTCCTTAATTTAGAGTAGACTGGAAATCTACTTTCAAAGCCATTAAATGTTGTGGATTGCTGTTTGTATTTTCTGCTCCCTCAAGAGGGGTGCACCAGCAAGGAGTAGCTCTCATCATCAGGTGATGACAGGTGAAATTTTAATTGGTTAGATAAAGCTAGAGCCTGTGATTGGGCAGTGGAAGTTTGAAAAGGAAGAGCTGGAAGTTTTAGCAAAGAGAGAAAAGGAGGAGAAGAAGGGGAAAGACGGAGGACAGAGGGAGAAGAAGATGGAAGAAGAAGAGGTTGAAGATAGAAGCCCCACATGGCCTGGAGGAGACACAAGTAGCTAGGGATTTCATAGATGGAAGATAGAGTTTGTCCAATCTAAGTGTACAGCTTGTAATTATATTATTGAGTTGTGTATTCTTTGTGTGGGCATTTTGGGGTTGGAAATTTACCATGATAACTCTGGATGGTGTAGCGTAAGTCTCTAGTGTTTTCATTTCATGGGGCTAAGGGGAACTGAGTGAATGGTAACTGTCATTCTGCAGGCCAGGTACTGAGGGTGGATGGCTTGAGAATTGGAGCAGCAGCTCCAGATATTTCAGGTAAACTGGTTTGGTTAGCTTAGCAAGCTAGCCTCAGGAACCAGGGAATGATGGCAGCTTTAGCCAGTCATGGAAGGTGGGTAAATAGGCAGATTTAGTGTGTGATTTTTTTTAACTACAACTAAGCATTTAAGAATGTGGATCTAAGCAGGGGAGTTGATGAGCTCTGCCTAAGACCAGTCTTCAAGACTAGAGTGATGCTGATCTGAAGAGAATTATTTTGTGGAAATTGGAAAACCATTGCTATTAATGGAACAAGTACTGGTTCTTTCTTCCGGACTGGCTGTTATCGAGAAGCTTTAAAAGTGCTCTAAAGAAGAAATGTCAGAGTCTGGTCCATAGTGGCGGTGGGTTGATGGAAATCAAGCGTGTGGAGACAGAGTCCTATCACATTGTTGTGAAGAGGCAGGAGAATGTTCCAGGCAATGGCAGTACGTTGAATGTGGCTCTATAAACTTTCTCTCCTACTGTTCCTTCCTCTTTAGTATGGTTTTTTTCTTCTAACAACCAAGGACAAGAGTCCTGATTTCTGCCACCTGTCAACCAAGGAGATGCATCTGGCCTACCCACAGCACAGCAGGTATCCCACTATCCCTCCAGATGTTCCAAAAGAGGGTCTTCCCTCTCCAACCTGTTTTTGGTTTTCATTTTCCAACCTGCTCCATATCTCCTCAGGTACTTTACCTTTCAGATTGACATCTAGGATGGTCTGTCTGGAAGTAGCACCATTGATTTCAACAGCAGCAGCGGTGTGGATGGCAACAGAGATGCCCTGGCAGGCTCTCTTCAGGCACTGGACATCCAGAATGTCTCCCTTCAATATTGTCACCTTGGTCTTTGTCTGTAACTCTGTGGACACAAAGCAGGTCCTTGGGAAGCTTTCTACATGAGATGGAAATTTCCTAACACAGGTGTCAGTTACCTAGGTCTTCAAGGGACTTATGATGAGAAGACACTGGAGAAGGCTTTTCTACAGAAGGAAGCATAAATGCTCAAAAATCAGAATGTAGCATTTGTAGGGAATGAGGAAGCTTTTATACATACTCCACCCCTTTGTAGTAAATGCATCTGAGCAGTAAGATGACATCTGTGCTTTGCACATAAACAGAGTAAATGCATCTGAGCAGTAAGATGACATCTGTGCTTTGCACATAAACAGAGTTATGGATAACTCCTACATTCATTAAAACAGCTGGAGAGGTGGTGGTTAATGAGATTGTGTCCCTGATAGTTTTAATGAGGAGGACCCAGAACACAGAGAGACAAAGATAGAAATTTAAAGGGCTAATAGGTTTTTGAAGCTTTCTGAAGAGACAGCTGAATTAATAAGAGGAAAATGTGGCCTCTGTGAGGGAACTCAGAATGGGCTCCTAAGATTGACTTAGGGGAGTATTTCTTGTCAGATTGATACATTGTAAATGAAGCAATGTCACCCAGATCACATATCCAGGAGCAATGGATGTATCTATGGATTTCTTTTGGGTTTCTCTGATATCTTTTAGATGATACTAGCAATTACAATGTCACTCAAATTAGTTCACAAAATTAACATGTGTCCATGCAGCCTGTACCACTCCCCACACTAACTGCAGCTTCATATTTTGCAGATGATTTTCTAAATTTTCTTTCTTTTCCCAGCTATCTCATGATACCTCGGATTCTGATGTCCCTGGTATAGGTTAGGGAACCACAGAAAGCTTCAGGAACATATGTCAGGACACGCATGTGCCTAGTGAAGACACTATTGTCCCTCTGCCTCCTTCCAATCCATGCTCACTTCTCCATGAACTCTAGGGTCAAGGCTGGCTGGGATCAACTCTTGTGAGACAGTCAGGTCAACTGAATTAAAATGCAACTAAAGAATAGTTTGATAGAGGGAGAAGTAGAAATCCATAGCTGGAGAAATTCTGCTTTGGACAGATGAAAACCTCTGCTGGATTTATCTACTCTAGGCTCCTTTCCCCTGTCAGGTAACCCCAAGAGGGCCTTGAAGTAGAGAAGGATGGGTGTCTTTGTTAAGGTTTCTATTGCAGTGAAGTGACACTATGACTAGGGAACCTCTCATAAGGGAAACATTTATTTGGGGCTGGTTCCCAGTTTCAGAGGGTTTGTCGATTAACATCATGGCAGCATGCAGGCAGACATGGTACTGGCAGAGCTTTGAGTTCTACATCTTGATCCTCAGGCAGCAGAAGGAGACTGCCTTCCACAATAGGCATAGCTTGAGCATATATGAACTCTAATCCTGCCCTACAGTGATATACTTCCTCTAGCAAGGCCACACCTCCTAATAGTGCAACTCTTCATGGGCAAGTTTTTAAACACATGAATCTAGGGGGATTATTTCTATTCAAAACATAATGGGAAAAAGCCTTCTGGGAAGGAAGCAGGTACCAGGATTAGAGTTTCTTTCTGTAGGCTCTTTCCTCTGATTTCATTTGAGCTGAATTTTATACAGACTAGGTCAGAAGAGTAGCTGCGGCATGGCATGTGGTATCCAGATAGAGTATAGTAGACTAGCTTCACACTTCAGGTCTTTGGTGGTCCTAAGATACCAGGCCATCTTAGGTGCTTGGTGGTAGAGCCACGTCTCCTACCTTGTCCAAGACACCATGGACTTGGCAGTTGTTTTGCATTACCATGTCATGGAGGTGATGTCAGGCTATAATCTGGAGTAGAAACAGATCCAGAGAGAAGCTCAGACTCAGCTGCCTTTAAAAGGACAGAGGGTACTGCCATACCTCCTTTTTTTTTTCTTTTTTTTTTTTTGCTGTGAGATTTTAGGGAAGTCACTTTTCATCATTGTTGCCTTCTTGTCTGAGGAATCAGAAGACAGTTATCTTTGTTTAAGTGTTTCATGTTGGGTAGGGATAAGGAGTTTACATTATTAAGAAGTTTCTGACCTCCAGTATTTGAAGGGGACCTTGTAATGGCTCCAGTCCCCCTGTTGTTGTCCAGTGAGGTATGAGGGCCATACCCATCCTGATGTCTTTTTCCTGGAGAGGGGATACTTTTGAGGTCCCCTTCAAATACTGGAGGTCAGGCCTCTATCCCCGCCTTCGCAAGTTTAGAATTGCCACAGCCCTTTTATACTTAGAGAAGGGAGGAGATGTCAGGGGCAGCCCTGCTTACACACTGTAGGCCTAAAATCAGCCGTAGGCCTAAAATCAGCAGTGGGCCTGTCATACATGTATACTAACACCAAGTCTTGGGTCTCAGTGGAAGAAAATTGAAACAGATGGCTATAAGCTAATGTCAACGGGCAGCTTTTGTGGAAATTTATAAGCCTGAGTGGTCATAGACCTTGTAAATAGGTAGCCTTGGCAGATAATACCAGCTTAGATGGGGACAAGCGAGTCATAGGCAGAGTCATGGTGACTTGTCCCCTGAATCTTCACCCAGCTGATACCCGGTTCTGAAGATATCTGTATTCCCCCTGAGCACCCACACTCCAGTGTCATTCCCTTCCCCATGTCCTGCCTTTCTGTGTTTATACCCCTGTGTGAATTAATTATGATTTGAGAAAAAATTAAAAAAAAAAGAAGTTTCTGACATAAAAAGGATACTAGGAGGATTCTTTAATCTTACTGGGAGGAGGGAGTGCCAACTGAGAAAAATGCCTCCATAAAATCCAGCAGTTGGCAAGCCTGTGGAGAATTTTTATCACTAGTAACACATGGTGGGGGAACTTTCCATTGTGGCTGGTGCCGTCTATGGACGTTTACAGCTGTGTTCTATAAGAAAGAAGCCATGGGGAGCAAGTCAGTAAGCAGAGTCCCTCCATGGTCTCTGAGTCACCACCTTCTTCCAGGTTCCTGGCCTGTTTGAGTTCCTGTCCTGGTTTTGATCCTTGTTGAAGTGTAATGTGGAATTTCAAACCAAATAAATCCTTTCCTCCCCTCATTGTTTGTGGTCATGGTGTTTCATCACAGGAATAATAAGTAACCCTAAGACAGATTCTTTATGTTATTTCTCTCTCTCTCTCTCTCTCTCTCTCTCTCTCTCTCTCTCTCTCTCTCTCTCTTTCTCCCTCTCCCTCTCCCTCTCCC